AATTTTGGGACAGTGCTTCTTAAGTTTGTACGGAAAATCGTCGTGTAATTTAAAAGAGTTAATTAACTTAATCATATTTGAGTGAAAAGAGGACGTGGGCGAAAAGAAGAGGAAAGTAGGTTAGCTACCTATATATACTGCCTGCGGCCGCCAAGTATAATGTAATTGCAGTGGCAGGAACCGTAGTCCAATAAGTGATGTATTCTGCAACTCAAAATCCGATACTCGTCCTGCTCGAACATTACTGAATCAAGTGCAGGTGATTTTGTAATTTTGTAAGTTTTATGTAATATGCTCGACAGGATGTTTTTTTTTTTTTGTACACGAGACATTTACAGTTTCTTGTTGTGTACAGCAATCGTCAGAATCGGTTAAATTTGTCACGACTCACGACTATAGTCTTCAGATGACGGCGAACCGTCTGTGAATAAGTTTTGGTTACATTATGACGTGTGATACGATCTGCAGGTCATCTGCAGCTGTATCTGTGTATCGTATTTCTGTATTATAGTCTAGTGCGCAGCGTGGGAGAGGGCCTATAACACTCGATATATTACCTATATTATAGTATTGTCGTGTTCATATAATACGGGCACTATGTATAGGTATTATTTTGCGCGGCGATCGACATGGCGAAAATYTATTGTTTTTGGTCGCAGTTCGCCAACGATCTGTATAATCATGTATATGCTCGATATTATTGTGCTCAATGACCAAACCCGTAACGTGACCATACCAAACCAAGTGCGATGGATATTGTGTACGACGTTTACAAGCATAATATATACACGATCGTCGTGTGCGTATTATATTAAAGACTATCATATCATAAATTTATTTTAACGGCATCGTGTTCGGCTGCTATGCGATTCTGTTTGCGAGGAATAAAACACCGATTACAATAATGTTGTCGCGTCGTCGTTACAGGACATGACCGACTCACGTGTGAGATGACGCTCGTCTGTAAACCGAAATAATAACAATATGTTTAATGTATATAATTTATATTATATATGTGTTACAATATGAACTAAAGTGTAAGTGTTTAATAAAAATAGACACAACGTGTTGTCAACTCAACCCTAAACAACGATTAACAATTCATGTGGCATGTCGGCGGGTGAGAATGTATATATATATATATATATATATAAAAATAGTAAATGTGATGATTTAGTTCAATATTAATTCGGTAGGTACGGTTCGCTCCATAAATTTCTGTATATTAAACGATGTGCACCAACATAAGATTAATTGTTCAAAGTGTTTGCGCGTAAATAATTATTATATTGTTTGAAAACTCGAACGAGGTCTTCTTGGATAATAAACAAAGGATTGTAAAAACAATTTTTTTTTTAATTTTATCATCGTAATAAAGCGTAATCGCGTTTGAATGCCTAATCGTTGCCTTGACAACACATAACTGTACCATATTACAGGCCTCGGTGGTGTGAATAAAATACGTGAAATATGCAATAGTACTGTTTTACTTTATATGACTAAATGTATAATTCGTAACTTTTCCGCTTGTAAGTACACAAAATATATAATGTTTTGTGCTCGTCGATTATTTTACTGTCAATGTCTAACAATTCGTGTGGTGTTAATATTTTTTAGATTTTTYGCCCCAAACACTTAATACTTTGAAGTTATATTTTTAACATTCAAATTCAGAAGTATACTATGTATATATGTAGGTACTATAGAATTATTAGAAAGCATGTGAGATTTTTGACATTTTAACTACAAACTAATTTAACACCATTGTTAAAATCTTCTGGCTTAATTTGCTTAATTTTTACCGTGGTAAATATTGATTTTCTCAATTATTCTCCTTCCCACTCCAGGAAGTTATTGTTTGAAAAAAATCGTTGAATTTTCACTGAAGTTTGCAGTGAATCCATGGACCTTCGTTCCACCTTGTACCATCATGCAAATTACATATACATTATAGTACTCTAATTTGTTTACCAAAAATGCATTAATCGGCATATAATACAAATAATACAATGATCTAAAATTATTACGGAAATTATAATATTTTTATTATAACATAAAAACATTTGTTAATTAATCTGTATAGTCAGAGTCAACGACCCGTGATCCCGAAAAGTTATCTCGCGTTCATTTGGCCCGAACAATTTTTTTTATTTTTAGAAATAATGAATTGCTCGATAAATATATTAGGTAGTGTGTGGTGACAATTGAAATCATTTATAGGTTTATTGTGTGTTTACGCCCAAAGACCAAGAATTTTAAAGTGCTCTCTACAGAATATTTTTCTGACACATAATTTATGTAAGTGCGCTAAGTAGATTTTTCAAATAATATCAAAATTAATAAATACATATAAACTGCGAAAAGTTTACAAACATATTTAAATTACAAGTGTGCTGTATGATTTCATAATTATAATAATAATATGTTTACATTTAAATTATTGTGTTTAAATTTTAGACCGCTAAATATGTTACCTAGTATAATACTAATCGCTTATCGTACCTACTTTAAAATTTAAACCTCATCAAATTAATACTCTATTGGTATAGATATTCCATACTCAACTCGATCTTTTCACCTAGGTACTGAAGACTTAATTTTGTTGATTTCCTTTAGCACGTTTAAATTTTTATTTTTTATTTTATATTAAATGGATTTTGGCTTTTGGGGTTGTATTGATGTATATGTACTTTATACATACATCCATTTATATGCGTTAAGCAGCCGCCAAAGAAGAAAAAAACATACGATTACTATTTAGTGTTTATCATAAAGTCTAGTACTAGACCGAAGTATATTATGTTATATTTTATCCAATTCAATAATTACGGCCAAGTCTCTGCCGCCGTGCGGCATTGAATTAATCACGCTAATGATGACACATTTAGCGATTGCACTGCAACCGTCGGTCGACAGTTGTTGACAGGAAAACATTTTTTATAATATCACCGCGTCGTACGGTTTTTTTTCACTCTCATCCAGATGATTTTAATATCGAAACCATGATTTTCGTTGAAAAAAAAATTATAAATAAATTAACGCACGCACGTCACTCATTATTTGCGGATAATCACGACTAATATAATACCTAATACAATATTATGATCGTTGCGATTATGTGGCGGTCATTTCGCGCATATTACCTGCGTACGGAGAATAAAAAAAAAAACTCCGATCGACAACCTCCCATTTATAGCTCTATCGGTTTCGCAAGACCTCGTCGCCAAGATATTCATCTCGTATATAATAATAATGTATAATCGGAAACGTTCGCTGCGATCGCGACTGTGTACACTTACGTACAAACACAAATATAATATGTATGTGTATAATATATTGTAATAATCATATTATCGTTGTTCTATGCGCTATAATATATATATACACACCTAATATTACGCAAGGTATGGTTTGTGTGGTGTCCCTTTTTGTCGTCGGCCCTTTCTAATCGTGCGGTCCACGGCGGTGATGGTAAAGCACAGGCCATCAATCACGGATCGTGTATATACTTATCTATCTATGTATATATAGGTACATAATATTATTATTTATTATTGTTAAGTAACTCCGTTTAGCGACGCGTTGACAATCGTTGCGGTAGTTGTGCATGCATTCGCTGCAGTGATACAATCGCGTTACAGACTTGACCCCGTGCGAGCCTTAGCTGGTCGTGTACCATCTCTTTATAGAAATTATTTAAACAACGTACGCACGTCTCGTGTCCGGCGAAATTCGATTTTTCGTCGACAACTGTCGTACATGAATTATTATTATTATTGTTGTACCGAACAAACGGCGGTGCGAGTAGACAATAGCCGTCTCGCCGAAAACGATTGTCGTCTTATCCAACTGCAGCAGCAGTCTTATATATTATAATGTAGTCCTGCAATAATGACAGATTGCCTGTCGTCGGTAAAATATAAAAACGGTACAATGTTGATCGGGGAACACTCGCGGTTTTCTAACTCGTCAGTATTTTCTAAATTCCGGGGACGACATCCATATTAAGCTATTCGTGGATCAGAACTCAAGAATGATAAMGTTCTAGCGGATCGTAACGCTAATTTCCCGTTACTGGGTCTGCGCACCGTTGTTGCACATCGTGCTGAGCCGTTCGACACAACGTAGGTATATACAATATTGATCATCTACAAATGATGGCGGCACAAGGACTAAGAATGTATTGTATTTTAATGTTTTAATTTAATTTTGCCTTTACGTTATTCGAACATCGAATGAAACAACACCGAAAAGTTCATGAATTACTATAAAGTGGACCTACGATGTATTTAGCTTATGTATGAATGGTATAGCAAACAAAAAAAAAGAGAAAATAAAAGATTGTACCTAATTGTCTGGCACAGGTCTGCAAAGTATTTGCCTATATGTATATATATATATATGTATATTATTACGTGTGCATATTTAACAGCCGCCTCTCTCTTCTCCGAAATAGTTCTTTCGCTGCGACGGCCAAAGTTGAGTTTTTACAATGTGTTGTTATCGGTTCGACGGAAAAAAAATTCTATTTTTTGGCGTCCGACCGCCACCGCCACAATGTCCACATAATGACACGTATAATTCATTCTGCCGCGCCGCAGCCTGTAAAAATCTCAACRTTTTACTCTCCGCGGTGCGTGTTATGTAATTTTTTCCCTCCCGTACTTCTTTTCACTCGTCCGCAGATTCAAATTAATATCCCGCGACAGTCTTAACGTCTTCTTAAGCCAGCACGCTGCCGCCGGGCGTACCGAAATAGAAAAACCCGCTTGTATGCTCGTAAAAATAACGGACGTGATGGAGATTATGATTTTTTTTAACTACTCGATCCTCTTATACACACTCACACGCACAGCCACACTATACATTACGCCCATTAATTTATGACCGAAACCATAAGCGTAATAATTGTGTACGCACGCGACACATTTATATTATTCTGTGGTTTATTCATCTTGGTTATAATTATTTTTATGAATTTATATTTTGTTTTGTTTCAGCTCTCAAAGTCAAGTTGATGTTGAGGAGACCCATTAACCAATTGGTTGCCCAAGGAATTATGCCCTGTAAGTATACAACCACGCCCGACAGACACCTGTCGACACGCAAGACGTTGTTTATAAACTYRCCCCTTATATTTTTTATGATATGCACCTTCGCCTTTTAAAGGTTGAACGACCGTTTAGAATTAGCAAATCACGCATTGTGCAATGCTTCTTTCATTTTAGTTAGTTCAATCTTAAAAAAATTGTATTCAATCTAAGGCTCTTGATCGTTAATTCATATATTATATAATATATACTGATGGTACGATAATGTATTAGTCACCTTATMTTGCGGTCGACATTTTTCTGTCTAATTATTATTAGCCGACAATACTACGATTACGAGTATGTATCAATAGCTGTGCTTCAGTTGTTAACTAATCATCGCTTGGCGTGTTCTCAGGTTTGAAAAGCCCACCAGCCTTCCATGAACAACGTCAAAAGTTGGAGAGGGCCAAGATGGGCGATCTGTTGAAAGCTAAAATTCAACAGAGGCCTGACAAACAGCAGCTGGTCAGACAGCACATATTAGAAGACGTCGGTGACGTAGACCGATCATTAGCTGAACGTCAGCGCATGTTGGTCAAGTGTCGCTTGGCTGATTCACTAAATACCCAACTGGCCCACAGGCCCGGTCCTTTGGAATTGATCAAAAAAAATATACTCCACACGGACGAGCCCATCGAAAGGGCCGTTAAAGGTATGTGTATACATTTATCACAAATTCAGGTGAACATCCCAGAAAAATTCATAGTTGTCCGTTCTATAASTACCAACCGGAAGTACAAAGAACCGATTAAATTTAATTATTCCTAACTTAATGAATTATTATTTACAGCAGAAAAATATCACAAACTTAATGCTTAATAGTATATGATTTATCTAATATCCGGCCCTAATACTTTTTAAGATTTACCTATATATATATAAACATATACGATCAATTATAATTTAGGTATCATGGAACTTAGACTCTTTACTACTGAATGAAGTAAAATTATTAATACAAAGTACAAACTCATTATTCTTTGACGTTTGATCTCGTTTTACGCGTGTGTCTTGACCGTTATGGGTTCATCTTTCTTTCAGAGGGTCAGATCGAGTTCAAAGCCACCAGTGAAGGACAAAAAATCAAGCCTGAACTCCCCGATCAGTACTTGACATTAGACGAAGACTCTCAGAGTTCTGGTGGCGCTGGAAGTTCGTGTTCCCCACCTCCACCACCACCACCACCACCACCACCGCCGCCGCCACCGTCGGTAGCGCTGACCCACAGGCCAGCGTATGATATGATAGAGACGGCTGCTGCTAACGCGGGCATCGTCACCTTAACTTTACTACCTTCACCCCTTGGATCATCCACGTCCAGCTTGTCACCGATGAGTTCGGTTGCCTCGCCACCGCCCCCGGTGCCCCCTCCAATGCCTCCGTCATCCCTACCGCTACAAGTGCATGGGCAGCAACCTGCACCGGGTAAGGACAAAAACCGAAAAAAGAGCAAGAGTAAGTCGCAGGCGAAGACCAGGACGATTAAGTTCCACGAGTACAAGGGACCACCGAGTGCGCATAAGTCACAAAATCTAAATGCAAATTCGGCCGAGACCTCGTACGAGCTGCTTTTGCAGCAGCAGCAGTTGTTTTTGCAGTGGCAACTCGAGTGGCAACAAAAAGTATGAGCTCGTGTGTACATTTCATCTGGCGAACGTTCTAATGATATYAATTAWTTTTTTTATCTGTAGTATCCTCAACTCATACTGCCCGCTCCCCCACACAAATCGACCTCGTCAATCGTTGAACAATCTTCTACCGTATCATCGTCRTCRTCGTTGTCGTCTTCGCCATCGTCCGCGTCATCTACGACGTCCGCCCAGACCATGAACAATCTACCGCAGATTATCGAAACCCGTTCGTTACGAAATCTCGACGATTTAAAGGGTTAGTATTATATGGGAATATGTKATTATTTTATCGGATATAAGCTATACATCTATAAGAAAATRCTAATATACTTTTTATTTAAACAAGTTAAATTATTTTTTTAATTTTGRTTTTAGTGAGTGACTTAAAGGCTGAACTGAAAAAACGTAATTTACCCGTGTCTGGGCCCAAGCCGCAGTTGATTGAAAGGTTACGGTCGTTTGCTGAACATAATTCGGATTTGTCGAACATAATGCTATCGCCCGGCAACCATTCGAATCCGAATAGTCCTCCACGGTCSTCGTCTACGCCGCCACCACCACCTCCACCACCTCCACCACCACCCTTACCAACTTCGGGGTCCCAAAATACACCAGAAGAAGACCGCATCATACGTGAACAGCAGAGACGCATTGAACAGTTACAAAAACAACTGCTTAACTCCCAACTACAGCTTCAACAACAACAGCAGACCCGGGTACAAACATTCCAGGTAATTTAAAATATAAATGCGTCTACTTAACACAGATCTACCTAAAACTCAACTGGTTTAAGTAAATTTWTAAAACTATATAACAATAATAACGTATTTATGTAACAAACTTCAATGATTTCAATGTAATTTCACATAATCGAATCTATATTATGAGTTAATTAAATATAATCAACGTCGAACCGTTTTCTCAAATTTGATGACCTAAATAAAAATGTTTAAACCCATTTAAAGTTTTTTTGATTACAACAGTTCATTATTTTAAGACATAAATACATACATAATATATTTACATATATGTATTTTAAATATTTATACTAAAAATAATGTGTTGTCCATAGTAAATTGTTTAATATTTTAGGTACCTAACCAGTAAACCATGTATATAAACGACCTCCTCTGTTTTAGCATAGTATTTGTTATTKTMGTAATTATTGCCAGTTAGGTTTAATGATTAGAACCATAACCATTAACCTAAAAACGTTTGTTTCGTATTATTTATCGATATCATCTGTTTTGTAACCTCATCAGCCGGTCAATGCGAAAGCAAATCTGGCAGCCTTCCTTCAGCAGCAACAGTTAAACCAACAGCAGAAACAACAGAAACACATGGTCTTGACGACGAACAATAATAATTCAATGAAAAATAACAACAATAACAGCAACAACGATCTTGAGACAACTAAACGGCGGAGCAATACAATTGTATTAGACAAGGAACAAGCGGCATCAATATTGAGTCAGTTGGACAACAACAGTCAAAGGTATGTATCAAACTAAATGTTGAAATTGATTCTAATCGTTCGTCACGTTTCTTATAATATATTATGTATATATTTTAATAGAACGACTTCTTTGCCGAATTTTTTGGGCACGTTCGTTCAACCCAATTTGACCACTACCAACATCATCAACAACAACAACACTAATATCAACAACAATAACAAACCGAGTACGGTCGTCCAGACCTCCTCCGGTTACCATAAGGTGGCGGACGACGAAAAAGTCGACATTCCCATGGTCGTGGATGACGTGAAATTACAACAGCCAACTTCTGTAAACTTGCCGTYGCAGCAGCAACAGCAGATTGTAGAAAGAGTTGTTAAACCATCATCGGAAAATCGACACCAGGACACATTGGAAAATAACAACCTAAGTCCAAAACAAGAGAATGTAAAACCGCCATCACCGTCATCGTCGCCTTATATCGATATTAACAGTCTTCCAATGGTGTTCGACGATACGAAATTGTTTCAAAACGTGAGTCKAGATATAATATTCTAAATTCCCATATCCAAGCAAAACTTGGTGATTGTGAAATCCYTCAATTTCCACTRGTCACTGTTRTTTAAAAATATTGTAATTTGTACTTTCATCTTAAATTATAAAAAMCATGAAAAAARCCGTTGCCCACATACTGCTTGAACCAGAATGCTGTCCTACCTTGCAGATATCGACCTTTTATTTTAATCGTTTCTTTTTACTGACAAATAATTAATGACATTATTGTAATATACCTGTCGTTTTTTGGCGGTTTCAGGACCATCTAGTCGACAATTGCCGGCACAACGTGTCCAAAAGTCAGATGATGGACGACGTCCTGGAGATATTGATCAGAAACGGCGAGTTGCCCGCTTCGGCAGCGCACGATCAGATGTCTGCGGGCTCCGGTGTCGATCACTCGGTGGTAAACGCGAACTCCGACTTCGACATACCCATGGACGATCCATTCGCCATGGATGTTGGGTGCAACGATGACCTGATGATGGATGTGGACACCGACTGGCTGGATTCGTTGGATTTACCGCCGCCATCGGCCGAACCGCTGGCCGACCTGTTCAACGGCGAAGCAGCTGACAACGACTTCAAACTTCCCGCCAACATGGATTTCCTGTGGGACCGAATAGACTTCGCGACGTAATTTTATTTGTCAAATATTGTTTTGCGCCATTCCTCTTCGTCTTTTTTTTTTTCGTCCRTCTCTTAATCTCTTCTTCACTCGTCCGCCACCTCTCGTCCAACGCCAATAAATAAATAAAATATGAAATAAACGCACGTTCGTTTACCAGAGTGACATTATCTAGAGTCAATTGGTCGTGGTGACCGATTTTTATGTAGATTAAAAAAAAAAAAATCATTACACTAGATTCAAATGATGTAAAATAATATTTGAATTGACGAAAAATGATTACATGCTCATTTATTTACCAGGGTCGTGTTTACTTAAGGAATATTTATTTAGAGAAATTATAAAAATGTAATTAATTTTTCTTTTCTTTTTCATTGCTCAAAATTGTATTATTTTTATTATCTATTTTTTTAAACTGAAAATAAAATA